GTTGTTAGTGTTTCTACAGTTGTATTTTATGGAGCTTACAGTGCACATTCAGTCCTAGTTGTTAGTGTTTCTACAGTTGTATTTTATGGAGTTTACAGTGCACATTCAGTCCTAGTTGTTAGTGTTTCTACAGTTATATTTTATGGAGTTTACAGTGCACATCCAGTCCTAGTTATTAGTGTTTCTACGGTTATATTTTATCGAGTTTACAGTGCACATTCAGTCCTAGTTGTTAGTGTTTCTACAGTTATATTTTATGGAGTTTACAGTGCACATTCAGTCCTAGTTGTTAGTGTTTCTATAGTTATATTTTATGGAGTTTACAGTGCACATTCAGTCCTAGTTGTTAGTGTTTCTACAGTTATATTTTATGGAGTTTACAGTGCGCATTCAGTCCTAGTTGTTAGTGTTTCTACAGTTATATTTTATGGAGTTTACAGTGCACATTCAGTCTAACTACTTATTCACGATCTTAGATGAATAATAATATCACTACTAAAACTAGAAATTTATTTTTTGCACTTAATCATATCCATTACATTTTACCAATAAGCTGAGTATATCTTAAAGTATGTATAACATTTTGAATTCTCATAGTCTAAAAACTTTGTTTTAGACATCGTATTTCACTTTACTAGAGATTTTAAAAATAGCCTTTTCACTTTGAAGTTAAATTTTGTATGTTTGGTTTTACTGCATTTGACATAAAGGACTGCTTGGTAGAAAACTCTGATTTAAGGTGTGTGTATGTGTGTACAGACACACATACACATGGCTATAGCACTTGGAATTGATGCATTTAAGACAGAATGTTTTAAGTAATTGATATTGAAAAATGTTAGAGTTGTTTTTCAAATGATATTAACTGAAAAGTATTACAGACTATTATTTTGCAAAAAGAATAGAAAGAATGAATATGATGACATGTTTGATAATAATTACTGATACAGAATCACAACTTAGAAAGTGAAGCCTAACAGACTGTTTTCATGATTTGAGAAGAGTTTGTAAAGTAGAATAAAACATTTGCAATAAAGTATTTTTCCTCTCTCAGAGGTTCAACTGTACTTAATGATCTTGAACCTTCAAGACAAGTATGAAGAAGCTCTGAAAGTTTTGGATGGACCCCTAGGAGGCATGTATAATTTTGATGTCTTCCACTTTTCTGTATTAAGATCTGTGATTATTAACTTTTTTTGTGTGTGTGGTCCAACAGTAATTAAAAACTGCATATTAGTAGGTAACTTTAGCATAGTTATGTATACAGAATAAGTTCAGATTTCTTGATTAATTCTATCTTTCTAAAGAAATTTTATTGAATAAAATACCATTTGTCAAGATTGCTCTGTTAACTCGTTCTGAACGGGATTGTACAATGTGACTGATCTTGTAACCACATGTTTAACATGTTTTGTGTATCTTTAGGAAAGTTGGCAAACTTTCAGTAATATTACTTTTCTTCATCTGAAAATTTTCAAATTTTATTTCCACAACCTCTAAAACCTTCTAATTAAATATCAAACATTTTTTTCAGTAAAACATAATATTTTATATGGAGTTGATCGATTTGACTGACCTTGTAAGCACTATAAAAAAAAAAAATACAAAATAAATCTTAGACCCCCAGTTTTGTTTTCTAGAATGACTGCAGTTTGTAACAAGGAAACTACAATAATCTATCTTAAGTAGCTTGAAGTCTACATCTGTTTATATTTAATTTTAATGATTTATTGCCCTTTGAACCTTGTCTGTGTCTAACTAATAATCCCACCATATAAGTTAAAGTCATTCGGTGAATGCGTACTTCACGTTTTCTATTGAATGGCATAATTCACTAGCTGCTCACAATAATATCTTTTGAAGATCTTGTATTATTATTTATCTTACTTAATTTAACCTAGTACAAAACTATAAACAGTTTCTGTGAGTAAGTACAACGTTATACTTTTACCTCTAGAAAAGGTGGTGTCTCACTTGGACGTTCTTCCCAGAAAACGTGCAGAACTACTAACACAACTTGGTCGGTGGCCCGAGGTCAACTCTACTTACAAAAAGTTGATCATGACTAGGTAAAAAAATCAGTTGTATTCTGTTGTGATTCAGGTAATGTGTACTTAGAAAGTGTTTATATCTAGACTTGGGATCTTGTGAAATTAGTTGTTAAATCTTTGGTTAACTGGGATTGTTTTTTCCGGTAGTTTCATTTTTCATAACCTTTTTAGTTTCTGACACTTTTTTATATCAACACTAACTTTAGATAATGTATTTACAGGCAATTTTTATACACATGCTATTATTTGTGGCTCTAAAGGAATAGTGTCTATTGTATCAAGTGAATTGTCTAAAGTATTTCGTTACTTGAAGGGAACCACCAGTAGAGAAAGGATTATTGATGATAAGCCAAAGTTTCTTATTTAAAGTACTGAAGTATCCTTGACTTACTTATTCTATGGCTCTCAAATATTCATTATTTTACAGCCCTGACCAGTGGTCCTACTATATTGAATATTTCAATTCCGTCGCTAAGTTGGTTGACTTGGAATGGAGACCTGATGAAGAAAGGTAAAATACAGCTTTGTTTTTTTCTAGTTTGTTTCATACTTTTCTCTAAAATAACATTTCTTTAAAGCATATATTTTATTAACCCTTTCATTGGCACTACATATAAATGATAACTCATAAAAGTCTACAAATCTGAACAGACAGATATTTCACCCATACATCACAATAACAATAGGACATTTTGAAATACAAGTTTGATTTTTTAGTGAATTTACGAATTATTGTGGAATAAAAGCCATTATTTAACAAAATCATATACTGTGCTGTCATGTGATACCCTTATAACCACATTTCAACAAGCTGTGTTATTTAAACTATTGGCCTATAAGTTACACAGATTCTATTACTCAAGATTCATTGTTTTTTTGTCTTCTATTCTTACACTATCTAAAATATTATTTATTATACAAAATGATTCCAATAAAGAGATATCAGTTTTATACACCAAGTACGAGCATGTGTTACAAATGATACATCATGCTCACTTTGGTGCAAAAAATATCTTCTAAGTTGTTATAACTAATATAAATATACGTTATTCTAGATTATAAATAAAACTGTTTAATAACTTGCACTATTTGAAACATTGTATGTAACAAGCCTTATGATGTACTAACAAAAAGTAATTAAAGATAAAGTTGATTTTTTCTTTATTATTTCATCCAAAACAAATATTAATAAAATTTGTGTGAAAAAAAAAAGTGTAAAATCTCCAAATTTCAGTTATAATTTTATTTTAGATAAAAATTTGTGGGGATACATTGCAAATAATGTTTCAAACTTTGATGCCACACATTTTGCCTGAATGTGATCTGGAATACCTAAGCTAAAAAAGGTTAACATATATGCATGTTTCCCTCGATTGTCTAGGTTATTTTTTGATTAGTGTATATTGTTGTTTCCAGCTCTCTAGATCCACCAGTGGACTATACATTTGACATGGCAGCAGAGTTTATAATGACACTGCTCAAAACTCAGCGAGACCACCCAGCACTTCTTGATCACTTCCGAGGCCCGCATCTGGCAAAATTAGAACTGGCTTTCTGGATACAGCGTAGAGAGAACTCTTCAATTTCTCCTCTTGGTAAGGAAATTGGTTCTGGTTATCAGTATACTGTATGTTTGTGGTGAAGTGCTTTTCGTAGTAAAATTGATACGGAGTTGGTTGTAATTTTGCAATTTTCAGATCATCTTGATAATTTTATATTATTCAAATAGTTCCAGTTAAAGATGTTGATTTAATATACTTTGTGATTAAATAAACAGTAAATGTTTTCTCTCCAAGGGAACATTGTTGATCTTCTGGTGACTTATTTTGAAAAATTCGGTGCCAAAGGAAGCTGTTTCCTTGACATGGTCCGTGTGGTAGATTCTTTTAGCCTGACTGAAGAAGAAAAGTTCCAGGTAACAAAAAAAAACTCTTTCATATAATATTATGTAGAATGAATTGATGATATAATTCATTATCTGCTTTTGTATTGTCTTAATCCAAGGGTAACAATGGAGGATAGTACTGCTAGCAACACAGACAACTTTAGTAGCAGGCCTGGCATGGCCAAGTGGTTAGGGAGGTCGACTCGCAATCTGCTGGTCGTGGATTCAAATCCCCGTCCCACCAAACATGCTCGCCCTTTCAGCCGTGGGGGCGTTATAATGTGACTGTCAATCCCACTATTCATTGGTAAAAGAGTAGCCCAAGAGTTGATGGTAGG